GCTAGCAGGACCGTAACAAACCCCCACTTCCTTGCTGAAGTTCTCCAGTGACCTACTCAAGGGAAGGAGAGACTTGATCGAGAAGGGGGTACACAAAAAAGATTGTCTGAGGATTTACCTCTTGCAAGACTGCACTCTTCTCCAGGTGCTGGAATGGGTTGGAACTCCCACCTGCAAAATAAAGAGAGTAAAAATCTCTCCAGGGATGGTGCTGTGGGGAAGCAACTTTCTAACCACACCCATACTTTAAAAACAGACTGAGCATTTCAGGTTGATTTTTTTCATGAACACCAAGCAAACCAGAGCTCCCTCTTTAAGTAATATTAATTAGATGTCTTCACGGCAGTCAGGGAAGTCAGAGCAGACAAGACATTCTTCAATTTGTCATCCCCTCCAGAAGTAACTGACTTTGAGCCAAGGTAGACTGATTAGCTGTAAAATAACTGTGCTCCACTATATCCCCAAAGACCTATTTCCAGCCCCTGGGCTGGGAGCTTGCTGACAGTTAAGAGCATCAATAAGACAGGCCTAGAAACAAAAGCTTAGACAAAAAGAAGTATTGCTTGCCAGACTGGTCAGTCAGGAGTGTTTTATGCCTCCCATATAAACCAATCAGGAATCCACCAGTAAAGTATTTTTGGCTCTATCACTAATTAAGATAACAAAACAGCAGACTAGATACACTGGACACAGAGTAACTTTCATTGTTCCACTTAACAAAATAAATTATACTAAATAATTAAAACCCTCACTAATTAAGGACAAAATAATCAGAGGGAAAAGCACTATCATTCTGCATGGCCTCGATTAGCTTGCCTCCCAAGCATTTGTGAGCTGCAGCTTTTCAAAAGCTGCCAGTTATTGATAAGCAGGTTTTAATTAGTACCTATGTTCAGCCTGGCCCTGGGACAAAACGCAGCCGTTTTCATGGCTGTGCCAGTGCTTGTTCCAAAGCCTGATCTGCCAAAGAGAACATGTCCCAGGGCCAGATCCGACCTGACCCAGGCATGAGGCATCCTAGGCTGGTGCCAGGAGCCTTGGCTAGAGTCAGCCTTACACCCAAAAGCAAACACATCTGCACTCTGGCTCCTTCCTGCTTGATAAACTGCTCTCCTCTGGCTCGGGAGAAGTTTGTAAAGGCAGCAGGTGGCTGAACAAAGCACGGACTTTATGTGGGGTTGAGGAGAGAAAACAAGGGAAAAGAGCAAAACCACCTCTAGTGTGAGTATGAACCGGTTCCAGTATGAGCATGTGAATATGTTCCAAAAAACCTGCCAAGCAGCACAGTATTCCCAGAGTCTACAGTCTCTAAATCAGCCATGAACAATCAGCCACAGCATTGGCTCTTCATCTTTCACAGCACTAAGGATCTTGAAATACATCGTACATGAGGTCTCAGTCCTCAAAGCACCTTGTGCCAAAGTATTCTTCCATAGAGAAGGAGAAGGATGCAGGGAGGGCAGAGGCTGTGTGTTCAGGAAGCTCCTGAATGACTAGCAGCAATTGGATGACTAGCAGCAATTTGTTTTAATTTGTAGAGAGACAGTCACTGGCGAAGGAAGGATCTCAGAACAATTTTATGCCCAAAATAACATGTCAAAGGGCATTTCTGAGCAGAAGCAGCCCATCCAAAGCTAGCTACACTATCCATGGAAAGCAAAGACACAGAAGCAATTAAATGGATACACTCATCTCAACAAAGACTGTCCTGTTAGCCTTTACATGGAGAGAATGAGAATTCAAGGCCTGTAAATTCAGGGATGATGCATTCCACCTAATACTGAGAACATCAAGCACTCAGGATATACATTTTGGACATAGACACAGTCCACAGGAGAAAGGCAGGCACAGTAAATGCTAAGAATCTTCATTCTAGACAGAAGCAACAGGATGAGAAGTAAATGCAATAGCAAAGAAAAACTGCTGTGAAGCCACAAGCAGCAGTGGCAAAAAGAATAATGGAGGGTTCTGTGAGCTCCTGGTATGAACAAAGCCAACAAGACTCATCACCATAATACAAGGAAGTGCATCTCCTGCCAGCCTTGGCCATAGGTAACGTCAGTACCTTGAAGAGTGTGGCAGATGTAAATAAAGAATATCTCCCAAAAGGAAAGTAAAGAGCAATTCCCCTCCAAGAGCTGCCTCACTAAATTCTCTGCTTATCAAGACGTCACTGGAGGTTTTGGACAAGGGAAACAAGGGCAAAGCATTTAATGCACATTAAAATAAAAAGCAAGCAGAGTCACGCAGAACCATCACCAAGATTTACACTGAATCAATTTGCTGCAGGACAGGCTGATTTGTTATGCAGAGTAGTCTGCACAGAAAGCTTCATAGGAAGATTAAAAAGATACCACAAGGCACAACCATGAAAGTAAACACTGTCTTATGAAGCATCAGTTCCACCTGAATTACACACCATAGAAAATATCCTTACTTAGTAAGTTTTCCTTACTACTCAGCCTAAAGTTCTGAAAGGTCAAGCTATCATTTCATGTTCCTTTGGTGCTCTCAGCTTTTCCTGATCCACTGAAAGTCGCAGTGATTGCGTTGGAAGAGCAGACCACACAGTTCAGAAAAAGTGCCAGAAATTACTAATAGGATTCTGCCTGGCTTTAGCACCTGGTTTGAGAGCTAGGCGACTGTGAACAGAGCTAATATGCTCAATATTTAGTCTCAGACCTTGCATCTGGTGATGTGGCCGGGTAACCTCGGCGTGTTGTGCCAATGCAACCGGTTTAGCCCCTGGCTGCAGCTGTGAGGAGACGGCAGCAGAGCAGAGTGCTTCTATGGTGCTCCCATGGTGCTTCCACGGCGCTTCCCACTGCGCTCCGTGCGCACCAGCTCCCGCTGCCAAGCTCTCCTGGGGGTCTCCCCGCACAGCTCCCCCCACTACTCACAGGAGGGGTCCCCCCTCACAGCCCCCCTCGCACCCACAGCAGGGGTCCCCCCTCACAGCTCCCCCCGTACCCACAGGAGGGGTCCCCCCCTCACAGCCCCACCCCGTACCCACGGAGGGCCCTCCCTCCTCACAGCGCCCCCCGCCTCCCCTCACCCGACTCTTCGTCCTTCTTGTCGAACTTCTTCAGCATGGTGCTGCCTCGCTGCGGCCCTCCGCCCCGTAGCAGTGGCAGTGGCAGTAGCAGTCCCAATCCCGGTCCCAATCCCGATATCCCGGTCCCGGTGTCCGGCCCCGCCCCTTCCTGCCAGCCTGTCACTGTCACGGCGGCGGCCGCAGTGCGCACGCGCAACCCGCCCCCCTGACGTGTCTCGCGGGGGCGAGCAGGAGGGGCGGGGCGCTGTAACTTGATTGACAGGGGTGGAGGCGGGACCGGGCGGCAAGAGCGCGGTGTGATTGGCGGAGAGGCGGGGGCGGGGCCAGGATCTTGGAGCTACCCTGGTTCTGGGGTTGTGCTGGGAATACTGGGGCACTGGGAGTGGGGTTAGCGGGGGCACACTGGGGACTGGGCCTGGGGCAGGGTGCACTGGTACCAGAGGAAATACTGGGACTGGGGAGGGGCCCACCGGGATTCTTGGGGAGACACTGGGCAGGGGAAGGGCGGAGCGGGACTCTGGGCAGGTGAAGGGACACTGGGGACAGAGGGGGCTGGAGCGTGGGGTCACACTGGGATTGGGGAGGGGAGGTGGGGCGCTAGGGCAGTACATGGGAAGGAGATCCTAGCAGGGGCTCAGCACCCCAGGCGGCAACTGGGGGTGGTAGAGGGGAACCCCCTTCTCGGGATGGGCAGTTGTCACCCGGGCTGCCTGCCCTGGAGCATCCTGCTGGGTTGCACCGCCTCTGGAAGCGTCTCCTGGGCCCCCTGTCCCCACTGCTACCGGCGTCCTGTACCCTGTACCCACAAACCCCAGGCCCAGCCCCGGAGCACCCACCTGCTGCAGTGGGGTGTCCCCACGGGCCAGCACTGCCCGACCATCCCCTGAGCCCCGGGACAGGCAGGGACGACAAAGGACCTGTTGGCCACCTCACCCCAACCCACCATCTACTGGCACGTCCCTTCACCAGCTACCAAAATATGTCCCTCCCATGGAACGTGGGGTCACCTGAGTTGCTTGGGCCCCCTTTCCAAAGCCAGTGCCCGCTCCAAGGCCAAAGGGCTCACTCACCCTGCACCAGGTATTCCTCGAAGAGCATGGCCGTGTCCCCCACCAGCTCCAGCGGTCCTCCCACGCGTGTCCCCCGGCCTCTGCCTTGCCTGCACCACCCTGTACTTTGCACGGGGCGGCCTCACTCTGCTCCGCGCTGCTCTTATCTCCCATCTGTGCCGAAGACGGCGGCTCTGGTGGCACAACACAACGTCCCCGCTAGTACAGAGCTGCTGTGAGCTCCCTGGGCCGGGGGCTGGCCCCACTGCTGGTGCTGCTGCCACCCCTCATTTGGAGTTTAATGAGTTCCTGTGCTGGACCCAGCCCAAAACATGCCCTTGCTGCAGCTTTGGGGAAAGGGAACACGAAATGGGGGTGTAAAGGGGTGCAGAACCAGTATAAACCAAAAAAAGTTGCATTTGATGGTGCATTTTATTGTGCATGCTCACCAACTCCAGCTCCAAGGCTCAGCCAAGCTTTGTGGAGGGTTTTGTGTGCTGCAGTCACACAGGGAGAAGCAGCACACAGGAAAAGATGCCTGGCTGGATGCAGCCCCTTTGGAGACATCCCAGTGGTGGATGAGCAGGGAGCAAAGCCAGGCACAGAAATCCCCGTGGTTCCTGAGGCTGGGACTTGGCTGTGCTCCAGCGCTGGCCTGGGCAAAGGTAAACCCGGCTCTGTCTTCTCCAGTGGTGCTGAGGTGATGGTTATTAAACCAAATCCTACCGTGGCTGCTGATTGTGCCATGAGCACCGGGACTAGGGGGATGAGATGCTGTGTCCGCAGCCCCCTGCAGGCACACCAGTGCCACTCCACACTTCCCTCCATCTGTGCCCCTGGCAGCCCCCCTGCCCTCTCCGGCCCTGCCTGAGCAGGCATGTCCCAGCCAGGGGAGTTCATCTCCTGCGCCCGAGCTGGGCCATCAGCTCGGCATTGGCAGCCGCCTTGTCCTGCTGCTCTTTTTCTCTGGCCAGGTCGAGCAGGATCTCCAGTAAGTGTGTGTGGACATCAAGTGACAGGGACACCTTCCTCCCCTTTTTCCTGGGAGCAGGTCTCTTCGTGGCTGGGCTCGTTGGCCAGGGCAGTGCTTTCCTTGCTGACCCCTCTGGCAGCAGCGGGCTGGCTTTGTCTGGATGAGATCCTTCCCCAGAGCCAAAGTCGCCCCTCCTCATTTTGGGGAGAGCTGGCAGCATCTTGTTAGTGCCGGTGGTTTCCTGGCTGGTCAGGTTACCTCCATCCCCAGCTCGGGGGGCTGGTGGGAGCTGCTCCAAGTTCAGTTCCTTTCGGGCTGTTGCTGGTGCCCCGAGGAACACCAGGAAGGTGAGCAGCATCCTGCCTCGCAGCACGGCCGGGAGCGCCTGCAGGGAGCGTGTGGTTGAGCATCACCCCCCATCACACTGCCATGGCCCCACAGCCCCTCCAGCAGGACACATCCCCACCAGGGTGCCACATGTAGACCCTCCCTACTCCCCATGCCCACTGGGGGTGGTTTACCTCCCATTTGGGAACCCCTAATTTTTCCACCCTGATTTTAACCTTTTCGAACAGGGTGGGAGGTTTTGAGGAGGATGAAGGGGATGTGGGAATCAAATCAGTGGGGTGACCTTGTCCTTTCCCACAGCCCCTGGCCAGACACTGGCTGTCAGCTCCATTTCACACTCTCCTGCCCTCTGTCACCCAGGGTAGGGGACATTCCTTCTTGGGAGGCTGCCTTGGGAGTGTGGCTGCTCCCCAGTCCATTACTGCCCTTTGGCCAGGGAAAGGTGACGTGCCCGGGATTTCGGGGCTGGGCGGGCTGTGGGGCTTTCTTCCTCCCACGCCTTCCCACAGGGTTCCTGGGCTCTCTGGGGCAAAAGCCAAGCTCCCTAGGAGGGATATGAACCGCCTGGCCCAAAATACACAGCAGATTGGTGGCAGTGGGGTGACAAGGGCATGAGTTGTGCTGAGCCTCCACCCCATCCCTCACTCTGGTCCCAAGGAGGGCCCTGGGGGTTCCAGGGTGCTGTGATGGGAGGTGGGGGTCAGAACAAGTGCAGGGGTACTGCTGCACAAATTCTGCTGCATTGGTGCCTCTCCCCCAAATCAGTCACCCAGTCAGGTTTGTCCAGCTGGAAGGAGAAAAGTGAAAGGCACCCAAACTGCTGCAACTTATCTCCTGGGTGAAACCCTTTGGAAAGTCCCAGAGCAGGTAGCCAGAGGTGGTTTAACTCACCTGGAAGTGGGCAATGAAAAACATCCAAACCCTTGCAACCCGTTTCCCAGCTAAAAGCCCCTGAAAAGCACCACTGAGGGCACAGCCTCACCATTTCCAGCAGGTCCTCGTCTCCCCGATGCTCAGGCAATGCTCCTACAGTGCAGGGACCACGAGCTGGGTATTTGCCCTGCTCCCTGCCAAGCCCTTGCTCTTATCCTGTCCCAGCTCCACCTCTGACCCGCAGAGGGGGTGACGGTGACATGGGGAGGGGGGAGGAGGGAGGAATGTTATTAATACATTTTCTCTAATAGCAGATGAAATCATCCCGGGATGTGGGTGGGCGTGTGCCCCCTTGCAGCTCTGTGGGCTGCATTTAGAGGGGGTTCCAGGAACCTGGGGCATCTCAGTCATAATTGTTTCATGTCTGACTTGTGAGATGTTTCTTCTCCATTTAATTAGGCCTGTCAGCCTTCCTGCTCCTGTCAGCCTTAAGGAAGGGAGAAAACATGCATACTGGTGCTGGCCAATGGCCATGGCACTGGCTGTGAGTGCCAGCCCTCTGGGCATTGTGCCTCAGGAGGCTCCTGGATATCTCCTGGTACTGGTCTGATGCTGTGTCCTGATAGACTTCCTGGCCCTGGCCAGCTGGAGGACATACCTGGAGAAATGTCACCTCCCTGCTGTTCCAACTGTTTTGCAGCCCACCTTCACTGAGTCTAACTGTGATGCCACCAGTTTGCAGCCTACCTGTACCAGTCCAGTCTGGCCCAGCCCCTCTACCAGCTGCCTGTGGTAGGTAACAGCCTGTAGGTATTGCTGTGGGGTGAGTCCCACATGGAAGGGCTTCCCCCCAAAGCTCCCTGCTTAGGGACTGTGGGAGCATCCCAGGTCTCTCAGGCCAGGCAGGAACCTGCATGAGATGAGCTGTTGAGTGCTCAGCCCAGAGGGCTGGCCAGGGCGAGAAGCCAGGGTGCTCTGGGTTCAGACTGCTGGGGGTCTACCCACCCTCATGGCCGCAGGGTGACCAGTCCTATGCCACCCTCCCCAGCAGTGGCCCGGAGTGGAAATAATGCTAGCTCTGTTCCTCCTCCTGGGGACAGCCAGGAACTCACACCCAGCAGCCAAAATTAGCACTGATTCACAGAGCACATCATGCAGCACCACAGACTCACGTGCTGACACGTCAGCACCTGGACAGGGGTCATGGCCTGGCTTGCGTCAGCTGGGCATGTGCTGGGCACAGGGATGGGACACTGGGTTCCCTCAGGGGGGTGAGGAACCCCAGCCAGCGCTGCCAGCAATGGGCAGCAAGAAAGGGCAACCCAGCTGGGGTGGGCAGGGGGCATACCTGACTCAAGAGCCATCCCCAAACTCCACGGGCATCTCCAGCAGCGTGCCAAGAAGCATGACACCTCCCTGTGAGCACAGCTTTAATATCACATCCCCCTCACATTGGTACACATATACATTCGCTGTATACAGATATACACAGAGAGCAGCGGTATGTGTGGGGGCCACAAAGCCCCCCAGCGGCCTCTCAGGCCCTGGGGCAGTGAGGGGCACATTCCTGTCAAGCCTGGGGTTGGGGGGAGGCAGGGGCTGCGACCCCGGGAGCCGACATCGCTTTCACAAAGCCTTTGAGAGTAAGCGTGGGCAAGCAGGAACCTCTTCTAACATAGCACCATCCTCAGGGTTTCCCTGACGGGCCAGGGATGCAGGTGAGTACCCCCCCAACTACAGACTGGTGTGCTGCTGGCAGTCATGTGAACTGGGGGCAGCACATGGAGAAAGCCTCCAGTCTCCCCACAGGTCATTGCCAAACCATCGCAGCCACAAAAGGGGAACTGGGCCCCAGCTGAGGTTAAGGTGAAATTCATTCAGATGGAGCTGGTTGCAGGGAGGGGGTGGGAGATGATATGCAGGGGTGTACTGCCTGGCCCAGGGATGCAGGCAGCTCTCCCATCAGAGAGGGGAGGGGAGCCCAACCCTTCCAAGTCCTTCTGGGCTGCCAGAGAGGGGGGACAGGGATAAGAACCATCCTGTTGGTAGCAAATAATTTAAAAATCAAACTGGAACAGCCCAGGAAACCTCCGTGGGGGTTCAGAGCCTTGGTGGGAGGTGGTTTCCCATTTGATATAAATTTCACCTTAACAACAATAAAAGTGGTGTGAAATGAAAAACCCATGAGCAGCATAAAGACACGTTAGAAATAGCACCAGGTTCCTGCCAGGGGCTGGTGGGTACGTGGCCACCACCACCACGGGCAGCCCAGCCCCAGCTGGGATGGCAGCCGGGCCCCACCTCCAGGCAGCCCTGCCTGCCGGGACACTGCCCACACCTACACCTTTGGCTGCCCTCCCGTCTTGCCACCGGCAACATCACGGGCACCTGTGGAGAGAGGCAAGGTGGTGTCAGAGCCGAGGTGGGGGACCAGCATCGTGCCCCCAGCTCTGCACTGCTGAGCCCACGGCACCGGGTGGGGATGCTGCCAGGCCTGCCGGTGCCGGTGGCTGTGCCAAGCCCTGCCTACCTGCCCGTGGGCGCTGCCTGCAGTGCAGCTCACACTCCTCCTTGCTGTCGAAGCGGTTGAGGTTGCCCTGGCAGCCGCTGTAGACAAAGGGCCGGCACTCAGTGACTCTTTGGTTGTAGTACCAGTGCAGGGTGTAGTGCTGGCAGTGCCCCTCATCCAGCGGCAGGCTGCAGGGCTCAGCTGTGGGGGCAAACAGTGATGGTGAGGGCAGGCAGGAGCTGGCAGCACACTGGCTGTGCAGGCAGCCAGGCACACTTGGTAGAGGAGGGGAAACTCCAGAAGGGGAAGGCAGGGGATGGCTCCCAGCTGAGCATGGGCTGGAGGGGGCATCTCTGTGCTCTGCCCAAGTGCTGGAAGTGAGGGCAGGAGATGCCACTCTGGGCAAGCCCTCTTCTAGGGGCAGCCAGCAAAGGCTGGAGATAAGAGCTGGGAGGGAGGTGGCATGGCCACAGCACACCTTGGAAGGGTTGTGGGGGGACCCTCTGCATGCTGCTGACACTGGGGCTTCCCTGATCTCCTGGGGCCTTTGAGATCCCCTCCTGCAGCTCATGACCAGGAGCACAGGAAACCTGCCAGGGGCAGCAGATCCCACAAGCACAGCAAACCACCCATCACTGCTGGTGATGGCTTCAGCAAGGGGGACAGAGTGTGAAGTGTGAAGTCTGCATGGCGTGTACAGCACTGTGCTCCGATGGGGACGGCACAACGTACCCAGATACTAGCAAGAGGGCTGCAAATCCTAAATCCCCACAGCCAGAAGGCACAGGGACCCACTGCCAGGCAAAGGCCTGGGGCAGCCCCGGGGTCACCCCAGGTCATCCTCAGTGTCAGGGAAGCTCACCATCCATCGCAGGTTGCTCCAAGCTGTCCATCTCCGGGGCCTCATCGTAGTCCTCCTCCTCCCCATACATGCTGTCGTACTCGAGGTCATCGGTGTCGAGATTGATCTCCCTGTCCTGCCCTGGGAGACAGCACCAGGCATGAGCAGCTCTTGCCACACATGTGGAGCAGGGAAAAAGGAGGACAGGGAGATGACAGACCCTCCTCCTCTTCAGTGTGTGACAACTTGAGCACAGGGACTGTGTGAGTGCTGCCGGCGGACTCTGTGAAGGGGAAGAACATGGCACAGGCATCAGGGAAGAGGTGAGGGAGTCTGGGGCACTTTCCTCTTCCTTCCCAGGGGAAACCCACGCCTGTCAGGTGCAGGGCAGTCCAGCACTACCACAGCACTTCTGCAGCCTGACAGGATACATGGACAGGGGTTGGGGACCTGGAAACACCCTGTCCTCTCTGTGCATCACAGACCAGGGCTGCCAGAGGCTTCTGGAGGACGGACAGGCAGGAGAGGCCTGGGGAGACAGCACCCACTTGGAGCCCAGCAGGATGGGGACAGGGGAGGGCACAGGCAGGCACACACGCCCATGGGGCCAGATCTTGTAGGTCCTCTGGACTCTCCATCACCTGTTTGGCCATGCTCCCTCTCCTGGCGAACGATTCTTCCTCCTCCCTGGGCAGAGCGGAAGCTGCTCCTGGCCTGAGCCCCCCAGCCTCCTTGGAGAGAAAGGACCCACCTCATCCCAGCCCACCCCTTGCTTCCATCCCTCCAATCCCACTCCTCCAGCCCACCCTCCCCTCCAGCACTCCTGACCCCTGAGAGATCCCTGCCCCAGCTCTGACACCCAAGCATGGATGGGGTGCAGTCCTCGTGGTCCATTCACAAACGGGCAGACCCTGGCAGTGCCCAGACCCCACTGGTACCATCCCAAGCCAGCTGTCCTTGGGGATCCCTGCTGAACCATCACTCCTGCCACACACCATCCCTTCTCCCTGTGCACACTCCCACATGGATGCCGACCCTGACTGAGGGGGTCATGGAGGGCCCAAGCCACATCCAGCTCCCCAAAACTGGCGGCACACCTGGGTGCCAGAACCCTTTGGTGCCACACGTGTGGGGCAGGGGAGTAGAAAGGAAAAGCCACAACCTGAGTGCTCACGTGAATCCAGGTGCCGTGGGAAGTGGCCGCCGCAGGCTGTGGGAGAGACAGGACAGGGGTCAGGGGCAGCAGGGCCAGACCCCCAGCCCCAGGGCAGCAGAGGGGGTGCTCACCACAGTGCTGGCTCATCTCCTGCCTGACGAAGGCACGGATCTCGTCCTCCTGCCGGGCACATGGAGGGGCAAAGGTCCCACATTGCAATAGGGGATGGTGCAATTAAAGAGGAGGAAAAACCCTTTCCCCAGGCCCCAGCAGAGCCCGGAGGTGGGGGCAGCCCCTCCATCAGTGGCAGTGGGATCAATCCAGCACCCCTTCCCACCCCGGTGACCCAAGTGCCATGAGTCTATGCTGGCTCCCTCCTGGTTCCTTACCGTCAAGCCCGGCTCCCCCTTCTCCCCACGGAGCCCACGGGTGCCAGGACTGCCCTAGGGACAGTAGAAAGAAGGTGGGACACTGGCCCTGGCTGGGGCTCCACCGGGCAGGGCCAGGCACCCGCTCACCCACCTGCTCTCCTCTCTCACCGGGGATGCCAGGAACACCACGTGCACCCGGCACTGACTGTCCAGGGGGGCCTCTCTCCCCCTGCAAAGGACACATGCTCAGGATCTGGCTGGTAGTGCTAGAGTCATTCTGCTCTCCTCAGCACTATGGATGTGCTGCTTTCCCCACCCCTGCACCCCGGAGATGCCTGTGCAGGCTGGGATGGGGATGGGTCCAGCTCACATCAAAGACAAGCAAGGTCGCAAACCCCTCAGGCTCCTATCCACTGGGCAGGGGGACACAAGGGAGGACCCCAAAGCCAGTGATCTGACAGGGCAGGACAGAGCCGAGACATAACTTCAGATGCCACCAATCCCTCATCCACTCAGGGACCAGGCCCTCCCTTCCTAACAGCCCCAGAGAGGGACCAGCCACCCATGGTGAGGACTCACCTTCTGGCCCTGCATGCCCTCAGGACCTCGTGGGCCAATGTTCCCTGGGGGGCCAGGGGGGCCAGGAGCACCATCATTACCCCGGGGACCGGGGCCACCAATAATGCCAGGGGCGCCCTGCAGGAGAGCAAAGGGTGAGACCAGGGGTGTCAGAGACCCTGACCCCAGAGTAGGCACCATGGGCATCCTCTGACCCCACAGCTGGGCATCCCTGAAGCACCGGCACTGGTGCCTTCTTGTAAAGAGCGGGGAGAGTTTTTGTCACTCATAGTTCAGTGATATAATTTAGAGCAGCGCCAAATGACTCTTCTGGAAGCATGAGGCTCTGATGTGCTTCTGACCAAGGCCATATCCTGGTACAAGCAATGAAGTGCAATGCATCCCATCTCTTTCCAGCTCACTCACCCGGTCTCCTTTCTCCCCCTGATCTCCTTTAGCACCCTGCTGCCCGTCAAATCCCCGGTCACCCTGCAAACAGGAAGGGACAGGCAGCAGGGGACAGGCAGTGGGGGGGAGGCTGAAGTGCCAGCACAGCTTTTCCCAGCACTGCTCTGACCTACCTTGGGTCCCATGAGCCCTTCCTTCCCGGGGATGCCCGGTGGTCCCGACAGACCCAGCTCTCCCTGGGGGACAGAGCAGATATCCGGCAGCCATTGGCCATGTGCTCCCGTCCCACCCTGGTGTCAGTGTGGTACTTACCGGCTCACCTTTCCTCCCTGACAGCCCTGAGCGCCCCGGGATCCCCGGATCCCCCTACAGCAGGCAGGAGAGAGGCAGGACAGTCAGTCCTGCACCCCTCGATGCTCACCCCAGAGCCACAGGCTGAGGAGGGGACCTCATGACCCTGTTGCAAGGTCAAGGTCCAGCCTCAGCCATCTCCCTGCTCCCACTGGCTGGCAGAGGGGATCCAAAGGGCCACAGCCTCCAGGTAACATCCAGGCTCCTGCAGCACCCTGCAGGCACCCACTCACCTTCTCACCCTTCTCCCCATTGAGGCCACAGGCACCTTTCATGCCCCGTTCGCCCTGTGAGGATGAGGAGGAGCTATGCCACACTGGCACTGGTCCTGGCCAGGAGAGCACCAGCAGCCAGAGAGGACAACCCACCTTGAGGCCACGCATGCCCACGGGTCCCATGTCCCCCTTCTCTCCCCGAGCTCCAGGGATCCCATCACGGCCAGGCTGACCCTGTGGGAGAGCACACAGCATGACAGGGGTCCGCTCCTGTCCCACAGCAGGGTGGCAGCAGCACCAAGATGCAGCTCCTTACCGGCTCACCGGGCTCTCCCAAGGCTCCAACCTCTCCCTGGGGAAGGCAAAGGCATCGGTCAGGGCAGGCAAAGGGGATGGTGCCACCAGCAGTGGGGTATGCTCAGCTCCTTACCTTCTGCCCACCAGGGCCGTGTGCCCCAGGAAAGCCCGTGGAGCCCTTCTCGCCTTGCTCACCCCTTATCCCCTGCAAGAAAACCCCCAGATCAACACAGGACAGAAGGAAAAGCTCCAGCCACTGTGTGGCCACAGTACAGCTGTGGTCACCCCTGAGGCTGGATCCAGCAGCTCCCCTTGCACCATATCAGGGTGCCCAGAAGCATCAGCCCATGGGGCACAGGGATGCCATCATGCCCTTCTCCTTCTGTTCAACATCCTGTCAACAGCCCTCCATGGTCCCCAACCCAGCCACCCCCAGCCCTGTACCTTCTCTCCAGGCATGCCTTGCTCCCCCTTGTCCCCCTTGTCCCCTTCTGTGCCCTTCAGGCCTCGGTCTCCCTGCAAAGGGGGAAACACAGGGAGGGGTCAGGGGATGGGGAGAAGCTCAGACACACATGAGGGTGGGGGGACAGATTCCCTGTGGGCAGGGACAAGGGAGTCCATAGCCAGGCTGAAGGAAAAGAGAAAACGTGCTCTGCAAGGGAGGGTCCTTCAGCAGGAAGAAGTTCCTTCAGCATCTCCCAGAGGGACAGTGAGGATGGGAAGAGGGAGGTTAGGGACAGCTCTTACCGGCTCCCCTTTGCTGCCCCGTGCTCCAGGCGGCCCCTCCACCACCACAGTATCGCCCTGTACACCCAAAGGAGAGAGAGGTGGGGATGAGCAGCAGGGTCAGGGCTGCTGTCTGCTCTTCCACTGCCCCCCCCACTTCAGGGACTCACCTTGTCTCCTTTAGGTCCTGGGGCCCCAAGGTCCCCCTGTGAGGAAGGTGAGATGCTGCAAGCATGCACAGCGGGGAACAGGTAGCACCTCCCTGGAGGTCCCAATCCCTGGAGGTGCATCATTTGCCCCCCACAGTTCCCCAGCCCACAGATTCCCTTACCTTGTCCCCACGCTCCCCTCGGTTCCCAGGCAAGCCCTGTGGGAGAGAAGAGAGGGTTGGTTAGGGAGGGGCCTGGATTGGGGTGCAGATGGGGAAGGGAGGTACTTACCACTGGCCCACGATCCCCTTCTGGCCCTGGACGCCCATCTTCACCCTGCGGGAAGGAAAGGATGTGAGAAGGGGGCTTGGAATGGGGGCACTCCAGCATCATCTCACCCCAGGAACAGGTGCAGATCTGGCTCAGAGTCCCCTCAGGGCTGATAATGTGGGATTTCCTGTCCCTGCCTGTGGGCACACGGGGGGCTCTGGCAGTACCTACCCGTGGCCCTGGGTCTCCACGCTCGCCTCTGGCTCCTGGCAGCCCAGCCCCTGGAGCGCCCTGCCGGGGGAAGGCAACACTCATACCTGTCCTCCCAGCCCTGTCATGTACCCCCCACGCCAGGGGACACCCCACAGTCCCCAGCATCTCCCCGGGTGCCTGGCACTTCTTCAGGCTCCCATGTGCCACCATTCAGAGTGAGCTCAGCACTCTCAAGGGGAAGGTGGCTGCAGGGACACCCCACAAGAAGAGCAGCATCACACTCCTCATGCTATAGGGTTGGCCCCATCCTACCTTGTCACCCTTCAGGCCAGGGGCCCCTTGTATGCCCTAAAAGAAAGGAGAAGGGTGAGCAAGCCACAGGAGGAAGACACTGCCAGGCGCACTGTGAAGCATTCCTCAGACTCCCACAGTGGTTCTCACCCAGTACCAGAGACCCTGGCAAACCCCAGGCTCAAGGGCCAGGGAAGTGCAGGGTGGGTCCCTGCTCCCCTGTCTGAGCCAGCAGAGGAGCCAGGGCAGAGCCTACAGCCCCAGGACTGCTGTGGCACCATACTCACAGCAGGCCCTGGGGGCCCCACAGGTCCTGGTGGTCCAGCAGTGCCATCTCTGCCTGGAAAGCCGATCAAACCCTGGCAGGGAAAAAACAGTGAGTGGGCAGGGACTGTGGCTAGGAGGCAGTGGGGCTTGCAGGGGCCTTGCTGACACTGCCCAAGGATCCAGTGTCACCAGGACCAGGTTGTGGTTGCAGTCTTTACCCTCTCTCCTGGGGGACCCGGAGGGCCAGGCTGCCCATTGTCCCCTCTCAGGCCTGGCTGTCCTGGCGTCCCAGCAATGCCTGCTAAGCCTGGGGGTCCTGGTAATCCTGGCAAGCCAGTGTCCCCCTGAATAAGGGAAGAAAGAGATGGGGCCCATGAAAGCAGCCCCTCAGGACTGTGCTTTTCCCTTGGCCAGCCAAGCTAGGGCATCACCTGGGCATTGGGGATGTGATGAGAGCCAGGGTGACATGGGGACAGGAATTACCTTCAAACCTGGAGGCCCATCCTGTCCTGGCGGTCCCCGTGCACCGACACCTGGTGATCCCTGTGTGGTGGCAGAGAGCATGTGGCACATCCCCTGGCTGGTGGGCACAGGGGTGCCAGGAGCACTGTGACATCCAGAGCATCCCTCCAGGGCTGAGGAGCCCCTCTGGGAGCAGGGAACATGTACCTTCTCCCCTTTGGCTCCGGAAGACCCCTTGGCTCCCTGTGAAGACATCAAGCCCCCAAGAAGGGCTGGGCAGTAGGTGACAAGGGCACAGATCCCACACCCCGACGGCAGCCCCTGCCCCCAGCATCCACATGCCTCCTACTCACATCTTCCCCAGGATCTCCTGGCTCCCCGAATCTTCCTGGCTCCCCCTGGCAGGAGAAAACAAGGAAAAAGTAGACGTATGGGACAGTGGATTGGGGGAACAGCTGCAGCTGGATCCCCACACTATGACCAAGCAGCGAGGAAGCCCAGGGCCCCCAGAGCCCCCTCCTCACCATCCTCCAGGGTAGCACCCACCTTCTCGCCCTTGGGGCCTGGCAAGCCTCTGTCACCCTTGGAGCCCTGTGTGGGGAGAGCAGTGTTAGGGGAGGGGGCAGCCACAGGGCTGGTTTGTCCCACAAAAGGTAGGGGTGGTGGGAGGGGGAATGACGTTAATGAGGGGTACAAAGTTAATGCGGGGGGAAGAGTTAACGGGGAGAGATTAGGTTAGTGTGGGTGATGAGGTTTATGGGGCCAACTCACAGGCTCTCCCAGCACACCCTCCAGCAGCACTGGCTCTCCCTGCAGGGACACACAAGTGATCAGACATGCCTACAATGGATGCCAGCACCCTGCAGCCCCTGCCCGCCCCAGCCTTGGGGGCTTTGGCAGCTCCCAGGGGTGGGGGTTCCCCCACCTCCCACCCTGGCTCCTCACCTTCTCGCCTTTGGGGCCGGGGGGCCGAGGGGCGCCAGCGATGGCCTGGCACAGGAGGAGAGCAGGGGGACAGAGTGAGTAGGGCTGCATGGGATGCTCCCCCTCATCCCGGCCAGGAACACCAGGCAAGGCAGCTCTGAACTCACCTGCCCTGGAGCTCCGGCATCCCCTGGCTCTCCCTTGGGACCAGCAGGGCCCGAAGGTCCTGGCATGCCCTGGCACAAGCAGCACAGCCCTCAGCCTCAGCCACAGACACCCCAGGCTGAGCCTCATGGGGCTCCCGCTGGGATGGGACAGGGTGAGTAGCAACGTACCATCTTCCCAGGCATCCCTGCCTCGCCGTCCTTCCCTGGCACGCCATCCCTGCCTGGCACACCAGGCTTCCCACTCTCCCCCTGCAGACAGTAAGAGTGGGGTTGGGTCATGGGAGTCCAGGCAGCCCTGAGCACCCACAGTGAAGGCAACCAGGCAGGAGGGACACAACACACTCACCACTTGTCCCGGTTGTCCAGGGACACCTGGTGGGCCCTGCAATGGAGACACGAGCAGAAATCAAGCAGCATCCCAGGCACCAGGAATGGCCAAGGGGCAGGTTTGGGGGGATTGCAAGTACCTACCCCTGGGCCAGGGGGGCCAGGGGGCCCTGGCAGCCCCATGCTGCCCTGGGGACCTGGCAAGCCCTGCAATGGAAACAGCCTCATCAGAGAGGGGACAGCACAGCCAGGACCTTGGCTGCCCATGTGGGAAGATGTGTTGTGGTGGGACTGGCTGATTCTGGGGAGGTTGGATGGCTTTGGAGGGGCCATGTGGGTGCTAGTAGGGATGGTGTGAGTACTCACACGGATGCCGGAGCCGGGTTCCCCTGGATCACCCTGAAAAGAAGGCACTTGCATCAACCCAAAATCGTTCCAACCCACCGGCTGCCACGGTCATAGCCATGTCTCCACACCTGGATCCAGGCCAAAATGTCCCTCCCTCCAGCCCAAAACTTCCCAAAATTTGGCCCTCCCTCCAGCCCTCAAATCTGGCAAGGCACCATTTCCCTCTGCCAGGTTGGAGATGGCAATACCAATGCAGATGCCAATGCCATACCTTGGTCCCAGCTGGGCCCTGGGTCCCTGGTGGGCCAGTGCTGCCCTGCAGAGAACAAGGAGACATTATTGAGGTGGTGCTTGTTGCTGGCCCAGGACAGGGAGAGGGCAGCAGGGCTGCTTGGTCCCAGCACTGCCACCCCACCCCTGCTCCCTGAGGGAACACCCGGCCTGGCTGATGTCTCCCTTGCATGTGGTACAGGGTGGCACCTTACCGGAGGTCCTGGGGGTCCTGGGTCTCCCTGGTTGCCCTGAAGGGAGAAAGAGATGGGGTCACTACAGGGAGGGGTTTCCACCAGTGAGGAGGGGTTTCCATGGGTGAGGAGAACCAGACAGTGCCAGTGGCTCTGTCTTACACCAAGTAAGACAAGCCTAGATGGCTCCTGCTAAGATGCAGGGGGCCAAACACCCACCCCCACAGCAGCATGACCCCACAGCTTCACCAAGAACTCATGGCTAGGAGCCCCCAGGTGTGTGCTGAGATGGGGGAGGCACAGGGACACAGGGGACACACAGACACCTACCGGGCGTCCCAGCACGCCAGGGAAGCCTGGCAAACCCTGCAAAGAACCACATCAGTCAGTGGGCAAGCAGGAACACCCCACTCCCACACAGCCCTGCCTCCCTCCCAGGGATGCCCCCCATTCCTGGCATGTGGTACCCAGCCAGGGTGCTTATGGGGGGTAGGTGTGGGGGGAGGCCCCCTAAAGGCCTGCAGGGCCTGCATGGGGTGGGGGGAAAGGAGATGAAAGAGGCAGGAACACTCCCACTGGTGTTGGTGGAGGCTGGTGTGGGACCACAAGACCTTTCCCCACTCCCAGCCTGCATCCCTCCACCATGCCCCCACTCACCGGCTTCCCCTCGGGGCCAGCCAGCCCTCTCTCACCAGGAAGACCCTGGAGCAAGAGATGGAGACAAGGTCAGTGCCAGGCAGGGGGCTGAGGTCAGTGCTAGGCAGGGGAACAGTGCAGTACTCACTGGGGCACCATCCCTGCCCTTCTCACCAGGCTCCCCTCGGTCACCCCGCAAGCCACCTTCACCCTGCAGTTGGGACAGGCAGAGTCACAGGACAGGCAGGGACCTTCCCATGATGTTTCAGGACCTGCTGACACCCAAAGAGGGGTGCCCCCAGCAGTGCCCCCATGCAGGGCTTTGCTCCATGAGGCTGCTACTTTGGCAATGGGACAGTTATGACCTCAGACCTTATCTCCTTTGGGTCCCCGCTCGCCCTCGACTCCAGGCTCACCCTGTGTTAGGAAGACAGATGCCATCAGCCCCTGCTGTCCCTCTACCCTGCCATCATCCCCAGCCCTAGCTGATCATGTTGCCCTGGCTCAATTGCCTTGGCTGCCCCCCTCCTCCCTGCCCAGCCACACACCTTCGCTCCCTTGGGTCCAACGGGGCCACGCTCGCCAGGAAAGCCCATCAGGCTGCCCTCCACCACATCTGCCTGTGGGCAGGGAATAGTCAGGGCCAGCATCCAGGGGACCCCAGGAAAGGGGCACAGCCCTCCCCAAGACCCTGTGCCAAGGGACTGGACATGACTATCCATCCCCAGAGGTGCAGGTTGGCATCCTGAGGATGGTCACCAGCAACAGCCATCACCTACCTTGGGTCCTGGGGGTCCTTGGGGTCCAGGCAAGCCATCCCTGCCCTGGGAGGGTAGATAAATAGCTTGAGCACCAAAGAGGACAACAGGGTATGGGGTAGCAGAGCCATCTTGGTATGGCCACTCCTGGCCTCCACAGGGCATCTGCCAGCCCGTTTGAGAGCCCTGTGTCCCTTCGAGAGGGACAAAACACAAGGGGAGATGGAGTGGACCATCTCCCTCTCCCAGCTCACCTGCTCACCTCGGTCGCCCTTCTCGCCCCGGTCGCCCTGCGAACACAACGTGATGGCTGTCACAGCACTGTCCCCAGCCCCTGGACCAGGTGCCCCAGCCTCCCCCTCACACTTCCACACACACTCACCTTCTCACCGGGCCGCCCGGGTTCCCCCAGCTCCCCAGCCCGGCCTGGCACCCCGGGAATGCCTGGCTTGCCAGGCTCCCCAGCCTGCCCGGGCAGGCCCTCAGGACCCCGTTCACCCACGGCCCGGCCCATGGGGCCTTGGGGGCCAGGGGTGCCTGGGTCCCCTTTGTCACCTTTGGGTCCTCGTTCACCAGGGAAGCCTAAGGAGCCCTGCAAAACATAAGCTGTGCTGCAAAGCAAGCCCTGCAGTTGTCAGTCCCCCCGAGCCCCACAGGGCTGAGCTGGCTGCACACCCCTCCCAGCCAGAACAGGTACCACAAGTGGGGCAGCATGTTGGGGCTTGGCATCGAGCCTGGCTCCGCTCACCTCTCGGCCTGGGGGCCCCCTCTCTCCTGGATCCCCCCGACTGCCCTTCTGGCCCCGCAGTCGCTCCGACACGGGCAGAAGTGAATCCGAGCTCCCATCATAGGCACCCGTGAGCTCCTTCAGGGATGAAATCTGGGAGGGAGGAAAGACACGCCAGTCAGGACATCAGTGCAACCCAGTTGTGGCAGCACCCCACAGCCCCGCTAAGCTGCCCTGGATTGCTCAGATCTCCCACCACCTCCCATGTCCCCCTCCTGCTGCCATGTGGCAGGAACAAACCCCAGCCCAACAGCCAGGAAATACATACCTTGATGCCAAGCGCTTCCAGGCTACGTTCGACATTCTGCAATAAGGATGTTAAAAACCAAGTGGGTGTTAGCCTGTTCCCACTGTCAGGGCTGTGGACAGTCCTCTGTCCCCCAGAGCTGATGTCCCAGTCCAGCAGTAAGGACAGGGACTCACCACTGCAGTCCCAGGGTCTCCACGTACTCCAGGGCTGCCAGGTCGCCCCTAGGTTTGCAGAGAAAGAGGGAATGAAAAGACGTGCAGAGGTGCAGTAGGTGAGGTGAGCAGTGCTGGTGCTGACCTCAGAAGGTTTCAGAGTTAACACTTTTGGTGCTGCCTGAACAGGGGCTGTGGTTGCCACTACCCTGGGGTGCTGGTAGCTTGTAAGGCTCAGTGCTGGGTACTCACCGGCTCTCCTTGCAGCCCAGGCTCCCCTGGGTCCCCCTGAAACACAGCAAAGGGGTCAAGGGGGGCAGAGTCAGGCTGCCTGGCACCGACTGCAGCACCAGGGTCCAGCCCTGTCATCTTGGGAGCCTGCCAAGGACTTGTTCCCTCTGGCACAGGGTTCCCCAGACCTTTGCCTTGAGGGGCTCTGGGGCAGGAGCACACTTACCTTTGGTCCAGCCACCCCACGGAGCCCTGGGGAGCCCTGGAAGACACAGAGGGGACACAATGGTATGCAGAACCCATGGACACAGGGCAGTGCCCTGAAGGAGCCATGGACAGGGGTCCTGCCTGACTCCGGGGTCTGGTGCTGGGTGGCACTGTGGGCTCGAGAATTACGCACCTGGCCTGGGGGGCCGACCTGCCCTGGGACACCGGGAAGGCCAGGGGGGCCGAGAGGGCCTGGCACACCTCTGTCCCCCGGCTCGCCCTTGGCACCGCTGCGGCCCTGATGAGAGAGCTGTGTCACCCCCAGGACCTGGGACCCAGGGATATGTACTCAGCAGCTCCCATCAGCACACTCCTCTCCAGGGAGTACTCACCTCTCTGCCAGGTGGTCCTGTATCACCTTTGTCTCCCTAACCAGGAGAGAAAGGAGTTAGAGGGGTGCTGCCCCATTCACATGCCCCAAAATTATTCTCCTGGGCCAGGCAGGGAGGAGTCACTAGACTTGTGGGGATCACAGGGGGACCGTGCAGGGACCACACAGGGACCACCCATGGCTCATCTCCTTACCTTTCTCCCATCCTCTCCTGGCGTTCCATCTTCTCCCTGGGGACAAAGGCTGCCAGTCAGAGCCCAACTTGACCATCTCAGCATGGGCACCACACAGGACAGGGGGTTGGCTCAGAGCTTTGCCACATCCTCCCCTCGCCTTTAGGTTGTACTGGGATCACTGTCCCTCAGCACCCCTGGGAGAGCTCCAAAACCCAGCCCTGGTCCCCCTACTCACGTTCTTGCCATTGAGGCCGGGTTTGCCATCCTCACCAGGTTTGCCCTGGGAGGAAGAAAAGGCAGTGAGAAAGGCCCCCTATCTCCCCACCAGCCAGGGGCCCCTGGGCCTCACTGCAGCCCCAGGGTGCAGGGAATGGGGAGCTGGGCACAGGGCAAGCCTTGGAAGATGGACCCAGCTGGGATTCAGCAGAGGGCATGGGGCAGAATGTATCCCCAGGGTGTAGGGTGGCTGGTACTTACAGGGATGCCAGGTGGTCCCAGTGGGCCCACGGGGCCAGGCTGTCCCTGCTCCCCACGCAGCCCAGGTAGCCCCTGCAGGGAAAGGAGATGGAGGGAGCACAGGGCAACAGGGTATCCATCTGCCCCAGTCAGCTCCGGGAGGAGGGAGTGTGACTGGGACAGTGGCACGCTGCTGGGTCCTGCTGCACTGCCCCAGACCAAGAAGAATGGAACAGGACATCAGTCCCTTGCAAGTACAATGGCAAGTAAGCAGGAGCACAACCAAAACCTGCCCTCTCCGGAGGTACTTACATCTCGGCCAGGGTCCCCCTGCTTCCCCGGGTCCCCCTGCAGACAAGGAGAAGGTGAGAGCAGGGACACCCCTATCCTGCCAAAGGCCCCCCCAGGAACATCCCCAGCCTGGAGCAGAGGGTGTCCAGGGGAACAGCTCCTCCTGCACCATTGTCCCTCTATCCCACAGCTCCCACCTGCAGTGCCCAGGGACAGCCATGTCCCCCACCCCGGACCATGCTCACCCGCAGCCCGGCAGGGCCCGGTGGCCCAGGCTTGCCTTCCAGCCCATTGCGGCCATCCAGACCTGGTGGGCCACGGTCTCCCTGTAAGAGAGTAGGGCAGGAGTGTTGGAGCTGTGAGATGCGATGGGGGTGTCATGGGGCAGCCCCCAGCCCCCAGTCCCCTCACCTTCTCTCCTGGAAGGCCTCGGTCCCCAGGGTCACCCTGTGGGGTGGGAAGAGCAGTGAGCATCATCTCCCACAAACAGTAGATGAACAGGGCACAGGTCCCCTACCCAGATCCCTGTGGGAATGGGGACACTCACCCGTGCGCCAGGGGAGCCACGGGGGCCCTCCACACCCTGCAAGAGAGAGACACGCTCAGCACTGGGCAAGGGGGGAATAGGAAGGGATCCTGGGTGCTCACCAGTCACCCTCTGCACACCAGGATCCCCAGCTCTCCTGCAGAACATCATCGCCTGCCGTGCTGTCCCACCACTTCCCACACCAGGGACCCAGCACCTACCCTCTCTCCAGGCAGGCCAGGGGAGCCGGAATCGCCGCGGGCGCCCTTCGCGCCATCCTCACCAGGGTCCCCAGGGTCCCCCTGCCAGGGAAGGGCACGGTGGTCAGAGGGTACTGCCCTGTGCCGAGCCCGTGCCTGAGCACATGCTGAGCACCTCTGTGGTTTAAGGGTGAGATGATAGCAAGGGTCTCAAAATAAGAGATTGAAAAAGAAGTGGCTGGACTCAACCCCCCCTCTGAGGGGCCAGAGAGCAGTCACAGAAGAAATGCACTGGGTAGCACTGCTGAGCCAGGAGCCAGCTTGGCCATGGCTTGGGACCATGATGCCACCCAGCACAGAGCACAGCCCGAGGCCAAAACTGCCCTGACCTAAGCTGGGCCATAAATGCAGAATGCCAAGAGTGTGGGGTGCTGCCACAGGACCCCCGTGGGGCTGGGGAGCCAGGAGAATGCTGGCTCCTTTGGGGACCTCAGCCCTACAGGGACCTTGCAAAATGGCACCCTCCTTTCAGCACTGCGCAGGAGCATCAGTCCACATGTCCCCCAGATCCCACATGTCCCCCAGATCCCACATGCCTCCCAGATCCCACATGCCCCCCA